TATATAATTAATACCATATTCTTAGATGATCCTGTAAAGAGACTATTTTTTAAAAGTTTTTTATAAAGCTAAGGCAAGATTTTTTCATTGCGATATAGATATACGATTCATTCCAGATTCCTAAAAGGTCCATTAAAGATTAGTGAGATTCATGAACAAATTATATAAGTTTCTTATACTATCATATACATTCATTTAGTAATCCTAATTGATCACATACAACTCTTTTAATCTCTAGTACAAAAAACTTACAAGAATTTTTAACAGGGAAGACACTAAAAAGATTCTGATATTGAAAACTTTGTTTTAAATGTCCAAAATAAAATAAAAAATATACAAAGTACAAAAATATAAGAAAAAGACGGCAAAAAGGTTCTTACGATATTTCATTTTAATATATACACTGTTTCATCTTTCTTCTACAGCCGCCTTTGAATTATATCCCTTCCTTAGAAGAACAGCTCGAAGAAGACACCGGATCAGGAACAAACAGTAAGTCCCCTTTAATTATTCTCTGCGGGAATCGAACTAATTCATCCGCAACTTTTAATGAGATCTCCTCCGAGAAACAACTACCCTCGGCGGCAGTGCAACCGAAATTGGCTTCGAAGTCGACCATACTTAGAAGCTCGCAAACTCCTGGATGAAACGTTCCAGGAGTATCTCGCTACTTTGAACAACTCTCGGAGTCGTCGAGACCTAAGCGAGGATTCGGACTTTCCTCCGGCTCCAACACCACCGACTTTACCGGCTGCCTATTTCGGCTTCGTCAGCTCCTCCGACTTCACCGGTTACTCCAACTTTGCCAGCCCTTCTGGCTTCACCGGCTCCTCCGGCTTTGCCAATCCTTCCGGCTTTGTCCTAAGGTTCATCCGGCTTCATCCTAAGGAAGTCCATCGACTTCATCCTTCGGTTCCCTAAAATCGATTAAAGGCGATATTCCCCTTATTCCCTTCTCGATTTTCCGTCATCTGTCCTGATACTAAGTTTGTCTGCGTTATTGGACGCTCCAATGGACAATTTTCCAGACATTCCTCCGTCAATTCCTAATTCCTCCATTCAGTCTGTCTCCTCTCCATCATCTTACGTACCATCCTTCGCTTTATCATTCTGAGCACTGTCCCCAATAATTTCCACGTGGAGCGTGGAATTCATAGAAAAAGTCTGCTTCTCCTCCTCCGCTTTCTCACAATAAACAAATCCATCCAACTGACTTCCTTCAATCAGTAATCCGATTTCCCTACACAACGGATCCCCTTCCATATGCTTTGGACTCGATTATTTCGGTCCTGAAGAAGTCCGGGCTGTCATAACCGGATAACTTGAACACCGGGATGGAAACTTCTAAAAGTCCATTTATCTTATCTTTATCTAGTCTCCATAGGTTTTTTTCCATAACCTTCTCCCTCCTCTCCTTTGCCATGGTCGATGAAATTGATCGATAAAATTACATTATCTCTCTGTTCGCACACACATGGATACACACATTTACATTCACTTATTGCAATTTTTCGATTTTCTAACGATATTATATATATATATATATATATTAGTAATTATATTAGATAATAGTAATAAATTGCATAATCATAACAGCAAAATGTAACTTTATCTCTGTAGAAAAAATCTTTGTTTCAAGTTACAATTTAAATATTTTCGATAAAATGTACAAGTTTTTTTCATTTTTACTACTCCTTAAAACACGTTTGTAAATGGTTTTAAAAATTAGTTGTAATTATAATTTAAATAAGTCAAATCTTAATCATTTTATATTATACAATTAAAGCAATTTAAATATTGTAGTACACATACGCTCGCTATCTAATTTTAGAGTACGCTTTAGATGTTAGTTAATATGACTTGCATCTCTTTCTATTCATTTAAGACGTCGTAATTACCTCCTTATCTTACAGAGAAGGATCGCTCTGGAACAAAAATGTTGAAAGGAAAAATATGTTTCAATATCTTAAAGTTGACATTCCAAACTACAAAAGAAAAAATAGTTCAAGTGTCGGTTGTCTAAAAAATTTAATTATTTAGTAACCTAAAAATGAAATTTTTTTAATATGCATGAATGGCGATAAATTGAAGATATATTGCATTTACATTTTAAACAATGCATTATATTATTGTGTAAAAAAACTTATAATTTATTAGGAAAATATTCTTTATAACGTTACAAACAACATAATATATAGATAATATTACAAATAAGATGGAAAATGAAAAAAAAAAAGAGTTTTTTTTACATTGTTACAAAAAAATGTACACTCCGTACACACGGTGGGTCATTTGTGATCCAGAGGTGAACTTTGAAGTTATTCTAATTAAAGGATACGCATGAATTGAGGCCGATAACGTACAAAACTTATTTTCTAGTCAAACTCTTTTTTTAGAAATAGAAGAAAGATCGGTATTCAATCAGGTGCTCTTAATATTTCAAAGAAAAGAAATACAGCAGGATACAAATGACCCAAAGGTGTGTATTAAGAGTTAGGTTTCTTGACTCAACATTTGGATTGATGCGACGTACGTGACATTCGCACTGTTTGCTGGATATAAGCTGGAAATAGACGTTACAGCATCCTGAATATTGGTCCACATTTCAAAGCAACAAAAAATGCTTCGACTCGTGGTATTCGTCCTTGTGCATATACCTACGAAGTACACGCACAGAGGCGAGGCAAATGCCACGAATCTAATCTGTCTAATCTAATGTCTTTTTATATCCTCTCCTTATTTATTCTTCATCTCTCCATTCGATTCCAGAATTAATTCCCAATAGTTTGGATGTAACACAATTATGAAATCTTATTACTCTTCTTATTCACAGAATTCATCTACAAATTATCATATTTTTAAATCAAGTTAGAGAGTTGGAATAATATATCTATTAAAAAATCTGGCATTTTTTTCATATGTGTCAAGTTGCAAGCAGTAAGAAATTGAGCGATCACAGAATGTGAGGAGAATAATCGATTATAGTCTTTCAATAGTATCTCCTATCATAGATAAGAGTGATTTCAAACTATATTCTTACCTGATTGGATTCTGATTGTGTGTCAGGCATGCCTGATCGAATTTTTGCTTGGGAAGAGAAAGGAAGACGGTCCGAGAAAAGAAAAGGAAAGAAGAAACAGATAAGCATCGGGTGGAACTTAAGATTAGTATCATTTCTTATTTGTATAAAATTAAATTTTTCCTTGTTTATTTGTTAAATTTTCCTCTATTATTTCGTTAAAAAATAATACAAAATGAAAAAAAATTAATTTATCTAAAATTTTATAAAAGTTTATTCTTGTAAAGATTTTTTTTTCAAATGATGAATAAATATATTATATTATATTATATTATATTATATTACATTATATTATATTATATTTACTATAATATATTACATTATATTACATCATATTAGTAAATATTTCATTGAAAGAATTAAAACTTAAATTAAGAATTATGTTTTAAAATATTGAAACATCAAAATTTATTTTGGCAAGCAAAATTATGTATCGAGATGAATGGTGCATAATTCGAACATTTATTGTTGTCACTCTTTTCATCTATACCTATTGTAAATAATATCATTTTTCTAAATATGAATATTTTTTAAAAGTAATTAAGTAGTATTAACTATTTAACTCTAATACATTTACGTCCCACACATAAATTACGACATGCACATTTTTTAAATAATTATTTTTAATAAACGTTTAATTTACGGTTAATAAAATTAGAAAAAAATGAGAAATATAAATTATAAATTGCAACAAAATACATGGATCTTGGTGCTTAATAATATTTCTATGTGAATTTTTAAATATATTTTTCTTTTCTACAAATTGCGCCGATTATTGTTAAACTTGAAACGCAACTTTAAACTAAAGTTGGAATAATAATATTACAAATTAAATTAATAATCAATTTAATGACAATACATTTAAATCTTTTTATATCAAAAATAGTTTATGTACCGATATTAGCACAAAAATGTTTAACATACAAGGCAAATATGATTATGAAATAATTTTGATAAATGATATATGTTGTAATCATTGTAAATTATTGTTTTGTTATTGATATT